AGGTAAGTAATATGAGATCATGACTTTTCTCGTGACCCATAAATATCCTGTTATGGGGATGAAATGATTCTAAACTGGACTTCTCGCAACATCTAGTCATATTTGAGTGAACCCCTAGTTTGTTTCAGTTCCAGTCTGTAACATATCACATTGATATAGAAATCTCTAAAGACTTCTTCGTGCATTTTAATCCCAAATCATTTCCTTGCTTCAATATTCTGTTCCTATCACTGTACTGGAGGCTCCCTGGTTAGCTTCCTCCATGACTTCCTAAAATCAGGTTTGTAGTGGAATTTAAAATTTAAGAAGAGCACATTAAAGATACTGACTGAAAAACTCCAAAAATAGGATGATGGAACTGTGTCCCTCTAATTGTAGGGAGCCATTCAAGAATTAAATCAGCTAGGAAATACCCAGGGGGCATCCTGAAGAGTTAAATCAGGGGGAAGAAAAATATGAGGTGGGATGCTCATGGAACAAACCAATATCAACACAATGGTCAAGCTTGCAATAATTCAGCAGACCTCTATTAAGTCTGAACTGGAATGCCCCACTTTTTACTTTCTGGCCTGCCAGGTAGATCCAAGTGCAACATTACCTATGTGAAATCATCCAAAGTCTTCTACAACTTCTCTGCTTATATCTCAAGTTGTGTCTTTTCATTCTCAGACCCGTGAATCAGGGCAAGAACACCGGTGTAGACAGTGTCTGCTGCTACCGCAAAACCGCTTCTGCTCCCCCTTTTGATCGAGTGAACGTATATCGTAAATTCAGAAATGCGACCAATGGTTTCACCAAGATGGAGCGGTACAATCTGGACCCAGACAGCCCTTTTGTAAATGGTAAGAAGCAGATATTGCTTTCATGACTAAACAGAGTATCAGGTTGGCTGGCATGGAATCGGCTCTGACCAATGTTGTGTAACTTAAATGATAGTTTCTCTCTGTGACACCTTGGAGAGATGCTAGAGGGCTGCAAGATGTCAATTAGCTGTACCAAATTCGGGGTACAAAAATCTAGATGATCACAAGATGACAGCAGTGTTTATTAACACCTCAACTCTGTTGTTTTGGATTATTTTTCCCTGACACTGTCCTAGGACCTTCCTACAAGCAATCATTGGACTAGGTGGACACTTTAGTTTACAGTGGCGTACTTAAACAAAAATTATTGCTATTTGAGGACCTTCAGGATAATTCAGAATCCTACTATTTAAGATTCATTGACATGAAATACTTGGAAGTGTGTAGGAGGAATTTATTGTATCTTCTTTTTCTTATGGTGGGGAGTTTGAGAGCAACTTCCCATATCTGTGTCTTCTTGTGCCTTCTTTTGTGACTCTCTTTCCATTTTTGAAACTCTCTTTCCATTTCAGATTATCATGAAGCATCACCTCCGACCAGTAAGTACACTTCACAGAAGTTTCTTCAGCCATGAACTCCAACTGTAGTGTCTAATGTAAAACATCCAACCTGTACCAATTGCAGAACAAACAGAGCAGTATGCCCTACAGGCTTTTACCAAGAGCCATGGATGGAAAACACAGGGATGTAGGAGTAGGTTGAATATTAGAAGATTTTCCAGACAGTAAAAGCTTTCAACCAGTGTACCATCTCACTTTCCAAAGTGGTGTATTCAGTAGAGATCTTCAAACAGAGTGGATACTGGTTTCCGATATTCCATTTCTGATTATGACCAATAGGATTTTTTTGTAACACTGAACAAGAATCTGGCTTGTGAATTTATTGTTCATCATGGGAATTTACAGAACAGGCCATGTTCTTTTGTAGAGTACCCTTTTAAAATTCTTGAAATATTCTGCCATAATCCTGCTCAGGCCTCTGTTTTCCAGATTTAACCCATCCATTTTCTTTTGGACAACATGGTTTCCAGTCCTTGCTTATTCTTCTTGCCCTTTTCTGGACCCACAACAGATCAAGAATAACAGTTAATTTCAAACTGTGAAAAGCATCTGCTTGTTCTTAAACTTCTGTAATGTACCTCATGACAGGAACCGGTTGATGGGTAGTATTATATACCATCAGTTCTGATTTCCATATGTGAGAACCATTATTTCTCTTCCAGCTGTTTCTCCCACTCCCAAACCTCAAGTGGCAACTGACTGCTTTACACTCAACTTCACTACAAATAATTTGAAGTATAGGACACAGATGAGTATTCCCAAGTCAAAGCTCTTCAGCTCAACACAAAGACTCTTCAGTAAATTGGTGAGAGGACGAATGTATGCTTACGCCAGTAGATCTTCCACATAAGATTTTCATAATATAGTCACAATAGTGTTTTACTATTTACATAGTTTTTTATTTATACCTAGCTAGGAGATATATGGAAAAACAGTGACATTGGTCCTGATTTCATCAACTGCAGTTTATCAACATTAAGGTAAGTAATATGAGATCATGACTTTTCTCGTGACCCATAAATATCCTGTTATGGGGATGAAATGAGTCTAAAATGGGCTTGATAGAACCCATAGTTTGTCTGTAACATATCACATTGATATAGAAATCTCTAAAAGACTTCTTTGTGCATTTCAAGCCCAGATCATTTCTTTGCTTCAATATTCTGTTCCTATCACTGTACTGGAGGCTCCCTGGTTAGCTTCCTCCATGCCTCCCCAAAAACCGGTTTGAAGTGGAATTTAGAATTTAATAATAGCAGATTAAAAATCCTGACTGAAAAACTCCAAAAAGAGGATGATAGAACTGTGCCCCTCTAAAGTAGGGAGCCATTCAAGAATGAAATCAATTAGGAAATACCCAGAGGAGGAAAAATTTGAGGTGACCCACTCATGGAACAAACCAGGGTCAACAAAATGATCAAGGTTGCAATAATACAGCAGATGTGTATTAAGTATGAACTGAAAGACGTCACCTTTTACATTTCAACCTGCCAGGCACATCAAGGTGTGACTTTACCTCTGTGGAGTTTTCTACAGCTTCTCTGAGTGTATCTCAAGTTGTGTCTTTTCATTCTCAGATCTGTGAATCAGGGCAAGAACACCGGTGTAGACAGTGTCTGCTGCTACCGCAAAACCGCTACTACTCCCCCTTTTAATCGAGTAAACATATATCGTAAATTCAGAACTGAGACCAACGGTTTCACCAAGATGGAGAGGTTCAATCTGGACCCAGACAGCCTTTTTGTAAATGGTAAGAAGCAGATATTGCTTTCATGACTAAAGAGGTTATGTGGTTGGCCTAGAACTGAATTGGATCTGATCAATGTTATGTAATTTAAGTTCCTCTCTGTGACACCTTGGAGAGATGCCAGAGTGCTTAAGACTTTTTTTAGGTCTACCAACTTCAGGGTACCAAAATCTAGATGACTACTAGACGGCAACAGTATTTAGTAACACCTCATGGTCCTCATGGAGTTTTGCACTCTGGACTTGCTGGCTCTGTTCTTCTAGATGATTTTTTTTCTGACTGTGTCCCACGACAATCTACAAACAATCGTTCAACTAGGTGGACACTTTTATGTGTAGTTAGTTTACAGTGGCCTACTTAAACTAAAGACTGCTGCTATTTGGGGACCTTCAGGATAACTCACAACCCTACTACCTGAAATTTGTTGACGTGGAATAGTTGGAAGCGTGTCGGAGGAATTTGTCGCACCTTATTTTTCTCATGATGGAGAGCTTGAGAGCGACTTCCCATTATCAGTGTGTCCTTGTGCCTTCTTTTGTGACCCTCTTTCCATTTTTGCAACTCTCTTTCCATTTCAGATTATCATGAAGCATCACCTCAGACTAGTAAGTACACTTTACAGAAGTTTCTCGTGCCATGAACTCCAACTGTGGTACACAATCTAAAACATCCAGCCCAGGAGTGGGTTTCAATTTTTTTTACTACCAGTTCTGTGGGAGTGGCTTGCTTGGTGGGTGTTGCTAGATGGTCATGTGACTGGACGGGCACAGCTTTATGGTCATGTAACTGGTTGGTCATGTGACTGGATGGGAGTAGCTGGTTGGTCATGTGACTGGGTGGGCATGGCCAACTTGATGTCAAGAATAACAGTTAATTTCAAACTATGAAAAACATATGCTCATTCTTAAACTTCTGTTATGCACCACTATGTTCATGACAGGAAATGCAAAATACAAAATAGTGTTGATGGATTGATTATACACTATCAACTCTGGTTTCTATATCTGAGATTCACTGTATCTCTTCTAGCTCTTTCTCCCACCTCCAAACGGGCAGTGGCAACTGAATGCTTTACGGTCAACTTCACTGCAACCAGTTTGACCTATAGACCACAGATGGCTGATCCCACATCAAGGATTTTCAGCTCAGCACAACGATTCCTTGTTAATTTGGTAAGAAGAACAATGTATACTTAGTCCAATAGCTCTTCCACATAGGACTTTCATAATATAGTCAGCAATAGTGTTTTACTATTGGCAATAATTACATAGTTTTTTTTCTTTATACATAGTTTGGAGATATAATGAAAAAAAGTGAAGTTGGTCCTGATTTCATCAACTGCAGTTTATCAACATTAAGGTAAGTAATATGGGTTAGAAATTTTGTAGTGATCCCTAAATGCCTTAGTATGGGGATTAGTGGCTTCTAACATAGATCTCTCACATCTTGTAACATTTGAGAGAACCCATGGTTTATTTCAGTTCCATTTTTCAACGTCACTATCAAAGGTAAAGGTCCCCCTCACACATATGTGCTAGTCGTTCCCGACTCTAGGGGGCGGTGCTCATCTCCGGTTCAAAGCCGAAGAGCCAGCGCTGTCCAAAGATATCTCCATGGTCATGTGGCCGGCATGACTAAACGCCAAAGGAGCCCGGAATGCTGTTACCTTCCCACCAAAGGTGGTCCCTATTTTTCTACTTGCATTTTTTATGTGCTTTCGAACTGCTAGGTTGGCAGAAGCTGGGACAAGTAACGGGAGCTCTGTTACGTGGTGCTAGGGATTCAAACCACTGAACTGCTGGCCTTTGTGATCGACAAGCTCAGCATCTTAGCCACTAAGCCACTGTGTCCCATATTACTATTATCCTCATTCTTATTTCTAAAAAACTCAGCCCCTCATTTTCATACCAAACAATTTATTTGCTTCAATGTTTGTTTGAAATGAGCTTGAAAATAAACAGAGGCAAACAAAATAGTCAAACTGGTGAGAAGAAAAAAATGATACAAAGCAGTGTCAAGAAAAGAATCAGGTATATAGACGTTGCTGAAATACAAGAGAGATGAAATTGAATTTAGAATTTATTTGTTATTTATAGGCCGCCCTTTTCCCTGAGGGGACTCAGGGCGGCTTACAGTTCATGGGAAGGGGGGTGCAAGATAAAACATAAGACAGTGCGTAAATAAAAAATAAAACAATAAAACACAACTTTCATTCAGCATTCGGGTGGGGCGGATTAGAATCTTATCCCCAGGCCTGACGGGATAGCCAGTTCTTAAGGGCTGTGCGGAAGGTCTGGACGGTGGTGAGGGTGCGAATCTCCACGGGGAGATCGTTCCAAAGGGTCGGAGCTGCTACTGAGAAGGCTCTCCTCCGCGTAGTCGCCAGTCGGTACTGACTGGCGGATGGAACTTGGAGGAGGCCTAATCTGTGCGATCTGATCGGTCGAAGGGAGGTAATCGGAAGGAGGCGGTCTCTCAAGTACTCAGATCCACTACCATGGAGAGATTTATGGATGGTAAGTAGCACCTTGAAGCGCACCCGGAGATCAACAGGTAGCCAGCGCAGCTTGCGGAGGATAGGTGTTATGTGGGCGAACCGTGGTGCGCCCACAATCACTCACGCGGCCGCATTCTGGACTAGCTGAAGTCGCCGGATGCTCTTCAAGGCAGCCCCATGTAGAGCACATTGCAGTATTCCAGCCTAGAGATCACAAGGGCTCGAGTGACTGTTGTGAGGGCCTCCCGGTTCAGGTAGGGTCGCAACTGACGCACCAGGCGAACCTGGGCAAACGCCCCCCTGGTCACAGCCGACAAATGATGGTCAAGAGTCAGCTGTGGGTCCAGGAGGACTCCCAAGTTGCGAACCCTATCTGAGGGGTGTAAAATTTGACCCCCAGCCTGAGTGAAGGAACACTGGCCAAATTATTGGGAGGGAAACACAACAGCCACTCGGTCTTGTCCGTGTTGAGTACCAGTTTGTTAGCTCTCATCCAGTTCTTAACGGCCTCAAGACCCCGGTTCATCACGTCCACCGCTTCATTGAGTTGACACGGGGCGGACAGATACAACTGAGTGTCGTCCGCATATTGGTGGTATTTTATCCCGTGCCTCCGAATGATCTCGCCCAGCGGTTTCATGTAGATGTTAGTCCTTTTACACTTCAGATTACCAGGTAGTTCCAAGATCTGAACATCTGTTGTGAATATATTATTATTTGGATCTTTTCCTTCTCAGATCTATACATCAGAGGAAGTACACTGGAGTAGACAGTGTGTGCTGCTATCGTAAAGCTGCTACAGCACCCCCTTTCAATCCAATCAATATATATCAGAAATTTGTAAATGAGACCAACCATTTCACCAAGATTGGGAGGTACAACCTGGATCCAAACAGCCTTTTTGTTAATGGTAAGAAGCATAATTTTTGACCAACATTATTCTGACCAACATTATCTACGTAACTTAAATGGTAATGTTGTGTCTCAATGACAGCAAGAAGAGATGCTAGTGGGCTACCTTTTTTTTCTCTACGTCTACCGGATTTGGGTTACAAAAGTCTGGATGATCACTAGATGGCAGCAGTGCTTATTGACACCTCATGATCATTTGGAATTTTGTAGTCCAGAGCTGGTGACTCTGTTTTAAATTTATTTTTTGCCTGGTGATGCCCAAGGACCTTCTACAAGCAAATTTTGGGCTAGATGGACACTTTATATTGAGATATTGTTATTCTATTAGACAGCAAATAATTTTTACCCAAAGAAGATTATCACATCACATAAATTTTATACAGAATTCCTTAGAACATTAAAATTGCTTGCTGTACTTTATAGAAATAGTCATAATCTCGAAATACCCTTTCATGTTTAGGATGGACCTGGCCTAATGTGTCAAGTAATTAAAATGTTTGTGGGATGTGTACTTTCAAACTTTTCTTAACAAATGATAAATTTTATCAGATGGGAAAAAGTTGATGATTTTGAAGAAAGAATGGATGAAAGATTTGTAAAAGTAAGAGAGGAGATAAAAGAAGATGTTGCTAAGTGTATGTAGTCTTTAGAACTCATGTCAGATGGTCTATTTGTAGAATGTGGAATTATTATCAATATAGATTCTGCCTGAAAACACCTTTTTGGCTTTCAATGCAAAAAGCATTTATAGAAGAGAAATGATTAATGGTTTATTTATTGTGATGTACTAATTTATTCACAAGGGGATTGTAAAATAAAATCAAGAGAAGATTTGAGAACAAAATATTCTTGTTAATGTTTTTCTTATGTACACTTAACAGAAAGATTTAGTGGGTAAAAATATTATGGTTTTCAACAATACTGAGACTGAGTTTGAAATATAGCTAACTATGTATTAATGATGAACATGTTATTGTTAAAATGCACAAACTTCTGATGAAACATCAGAAAAAGAACACAGGGAAAGAATGTATGATAAAATGGGCTGAAATTTTTGGCTACAATATACAAATGGATCAATGGGAAACATGTGGCTAAAAGGCTGAGATTTAGATTAGGTTGTAATCTCAAAGAGAATTTTTATAAAATGATGTACATTGCTATCTGTCAGCACAGAAACTGTTTAGATTGTATAAAGGCACTTTGAATATTTGTTGGAAATGTGAAGGAACAACATGAAGGGACATTTTAATAATGTTTTGGTGGACATGTAAAAAAAATAAAAACGCCGGATGCAAATACATATTGTACATTAAGAAGATTGTAAAGATTAAAACTGAAACCAGAGACTTTTCTTTTGGGACCAATGGACAGGCAACTAGAAAAAAGCCATGGAACTTTGTTTTATGTATGATAACTGCAGCAAGATTATTATATGCTCAAAAGTGGAAGAGTTCGACACTAACCATAATAGAAGAAAAGATGGTGAAGATGATGGAATAATGAAGATGCCTAAATTAACTTCTTTGATGAGAAAAAAACCCAATATCTACATTTATGGCCGACTGGAAATTCCTTCTAGATCTTCTGCATTAAACAGAAAAAAATGCATTTATGAGTTGTGATTTTGATTAGAATAAAAATTGATAATGAAAATTGTACTTTTTTGTAATATAGAGCAAGAGACAATTTTGTAATTGTAGTTATATTTGCTGCCAAGAAAATTGAAAACGTTTTTCTTTTTCACACTTGCTTTTCTCTTTCTTTGCTTTTTTACTCTTTTATTAGTATGTGTTAGTTTTTTGGTTCTTAATAACATTCTTATTAAAACAATAACTTTATTAGTGGTGGAGAATCACTAAATTTATTTAAACATATTGTTATGAAGGTTGGAAATCACTTCTTCTTTTTTCGCTTTCCAAACACTTTTTGCTTTTCTGTATTCTTTTTTTCCATTCAATTTACTTTGTACTAGATTTTACTGTTGTAATCAAAAGTCTTAATAAAAATTACAATCAAGGAAGCAGCCATGACTATGACTGCTTTGAATTTTGCTTGATAGTAAAGTGGGAAGAGAAAGAAAAAGAAAAAAATAGCAGATCACTTCTTGTTTCCTTCTAGGATATTCACCATCTACAACTGATTCAGCTTCAGATCTACTAAGCTATGAGCTTGGTTTCAAAGTTATCAACAAGAACTTGACCAATAAAAATCCATTATCACCAGAATATAAGCAATTGATGGGTTCCATCAGTAATGAGGTGAGGATTTTCATTTAGAAGTCCTCTACTGCAAACCCTGAATGGAAAAATGATAGGGAACTATCATGAGATAATGCCATTGCAAGCCTCTCTCACATTCTTTAATTCCCTTTTTTTTGTAAGATGTTTTTGAATTAATTTTCCTAATTTAGATCCATTCCTTCCACAAACTGGCATGCCTACAACTTTATAATAACAATAAAGTAGTTCAGGAAGAGAATGTCCATTAAATTCAAACATATCACTTTATCAATCTGACTCATATATCTAAACATATCATTGTTGTAAATTGATTATTTGTACCAGTAGTAAAAATCTCAATGTAATAGTTAAATCTTTATTTAATGGCAAACTCTCAATTAGACATGTCTATGGAGAGTCTCAGTCATCCAGGTCATGGTTGTCCCAAAGGTGCTTTTTTCAGGAGGCACCTGGACTTTCTTCTTTTTCTTGGATAAGAAACTAGATGTTTTCAAAGAAGAACAAGAAACCCCAGATGCTTCCTGGAAAAAACACCTTTGGGATTATCTCAGTTGGACAGATATAATCCATTTAATGAAAGAGTGAAAATTTTGTATCTGAATCCAATAAATCAAGGTAATATAGAATAGAATAGAATAGAATAGAATAGAATAGAATAGAATAGAATACTTTATTGGCCAAGTGTGATTGGACACATAAGGAATTTGTCTTCGGTGCATAGACTCTCATACATAAAAGCTATGTGATAAATCATGATCATAGTCATGAATAGAAATACATTAATCATAAATCATAAGATACACTTAGTGATTAAAGTGCAACTGTAGTGTAATTCTTCTGAACAGTTTGTTCTCAGATCTGTTTTGGCTACTCACCTCCTTCACAACTCAATAGTGTAGGGGACTTATTGTACACCAAACAACAAGAGATTTAAAAGTGCAGATCTAAGCTTAATAGGATTTAATTTAATTTGATTTGATTCCAGTTGAATCAACTCTTCCACCAGAGTTCCATCAGCGATGGATTCAAAATTTGTGCTGTAACTAAATTAAGGTCAGTATTTACCCAAGGTGGGTCTGAGCAAGATCTTGATGATATCGTTGAGTTTATAAACAATTAAATCAAAACCAAGTGAAACAATTAAATCAAAACCAAGTGAATTGTTATGGCTTATTATGGTACGTGAATTCAGCCAGATGTGGCTTACTCAATAAACTATAATTAAGTAAATTATGGTTTTATAAAATATTTCAATTATGTCGGCACACTCATTGTTTGGATCTTATCTGTCCTCAATACCAAGCACTTGAAGATACCACTTAAATCTGGCTACATAAAACTTTTAACTGAAATAGAATTCTCTAGGTGAGGGATTGTTTTCACAGCATACTAGGAAACTATTTATCAATGCTGCATTAATCTACAAGTAATAAAATAAAAATAAGAAAGCACAGTATTTCCCAATTCACATTCTCCAAGCAAGCACCTTGGACTTTTATCTTCCAGAATTCCAAACCAGCATGTCTGTAAAGGAACTACAGTCCCCTTTCCCTTCCTGATCCACTTTTCCAAGTAAAGTAGAGCAGATGCTGCAGGGTAGACATCAAAATAGCCCTCCCCAGATTTTACATTTCTTCAGACTTTTAAACTATAATACAATTTTAGAGCTACTGAAAATAAAGGAGAATTTCATTCCTTACCTCATTCCTGCATGCAGGCCATTGCTTTCCATCCACTTATCCACTGGATAGCTGGGCCCAATTACAAAATTACTCCGTGCAAGTTCATCAGGAGTTCTTTCTAAATTGCAGTTTGAGGGGGAGAGAGAGAAGAAAAGTACCTCAAAGAGATTTGTTTTAAAAGTGGGGGGAAGTAAGAAAGAATAACAAGCTATGTATCAGAAACAGAATGCCCATTTTAGGCACTGGCCGCATTCATTCCTTACTAGGCCTACCATGTGGAGATTCCCTCACTAACAGATAAGTCCTGGAAAACGCAGCTCTTGGCATTAAAAAGGTTGCTAGGCCCTGCTGCTGCTGAGCTAAGTATCTTGGGATATCCTATCTTATTCCAAAATAATCAAATATGAGAATAGCCAGAATTCTCTCAAGACATTGAAATCTTCCAGTCCAGTTGATATTGATTGAAAGAATTAAGGGCAAGGATATGAGTGAAAAGCAAAAGCAGACATAATTCTGTCACCGGGCCTAAGGTGTCAGGAGGTATGGCTGAGCCCATGCTATGGTTATGTTCATTTATCATTAATAAGCTTGTTTTTTTTCCCTCTGGCTGAAGTGTGCGTGTGCGTGTGCGTGCGTGTGTGTGCGTGTGTTGTCTTTTCCCTGCTTTAAATATTGTTAGCTACACTAAATCATGAATTTGAGATGAGCGGCCATATAAATTGAAAAAAATGATTTTTAAAAAATAAAAGTGTGTGGTTCATTTGACATATTGCAGCATTGGTTAATAATCAGAGGCATAGAAGTACCTCAGATCATGATGGTCAACTAGTTCAGGGGTCTCTAACCTTGGCCACTTGAAGACTTCAACTCCCAGAATTCCTCAGCCAGCAAAGCTAAGGAAGTTGAAGTCTGGGAATTGAAGTCCACTAGTCTTCAAATGTCCAAGGCTGGAGACCCCTGAGTTAGTTGACATGTTCCTCATTTATGTAGAGTTCTGAAAACACAAGAAACCCAGCTTAATAAAGAAAAATATTGCATATACGTAAAATTATCCCAAACTAACGAACTATCTTATGATTAATGTGCTGGCCTGTTCATACAGCATATTGTCAGTGTCTGACAGCACATTGAATCACAAAATGCCCAATAAGCTGTTTTTGCAGCCTATTTTATGTGAACCCAACCTTATTTTATAAATAAGGCAAAAGTTATCTGGTTTATCTAATGCACATATCAGAATGGGAAATGTTTCCAGGAAATCTTCATTTTTGAATGTACTGAAATCCAGAAACTTCATGGAGATGTATTATTATTATTTCCACCAAAGTAAATTCGGCCCACTCATAATAGGTAAATTTGCATAATAATCCATCATGTGGTTTTAGCTGAATCTGTTGGGTTTTAACCTCACCCACTGTTTATCAGGCCTTATTTTTGAATTTATTACTTAGTTACCAAGACAAATTTGCTTTTTTCATTAAAAGATGCCAAGAGCAATATATTTCTTTGGTGGGTAGTTGAGAAGCATTTGACTAAGATAGTGGAAAATATAGCTCTCAGTGGTTCTGCTGGCTAGAAATTTTGCACCACTGAAAAAGCCATTTATGGCAAAGAATATGTTAGCAAAATATTTCGATTATGAAGTGTCACCATGCTATAGTAGGAATCTTTTGTTCTGTATGCACTTTGATCGACTTAGACATGTCATCAAGACATCAAAACTCAAGATGATTTTGAAAGTTCCCTCTAAAAATGTCTGACTTTATCTACAAGTAATACAATTTGAAATGCTTTTGTACATTAAAACATTTTACTGCTTTTCTCTCTTCCTACACCCCCCCCCCAATATTTTTTAGAATCGGTTCCATCATAGTTGATTGCAAGTGTTACTTCCATCCTTCAGGGATTATTAGCAAAGACACCATCAAAAATGTATTTCAACAAGAGACCCAGAATGCCACCTCTCAGTGGCTGGGTAGCAGATTCCAAATCATGGGCTTCACCATTGAAGGTATAAACTTTGGCATAAACTAAAATGGTAATGGTCATTAATGTAGGGCTCACAACTTTAAGAAATCTATAATATCTCCTTTCCTATTACTTATGTCAGATAGACAGACAGATAGATCTCACCGGCATGGTGGCCTAGTGGTGAAGATGCTCACCTGCCATTCAAAATATTGAGAAGTCAATCCTAGGTAGTAGCAGATGTTTCTCTCCTAGGGCACAAAGAAAAAATATCCACTGCAAACTCCACCTGGTGTCAGGAAGGGCATCTGGCCAGTGAATGCTCAGCTCCATTTAGTCACTGCAACTCTAGCCCAAATTAAGGGATTATAGGCAGGGGTGGTATTCACTTACCTGCCTTACTGGTTCGCAAATGTGAGTGTGCTCAGGCAGTTCAGATTTTTAACACTCTTAGGGTCTTTTCATTGTATTTATTTTGTACAATGACAATAAAGGCAATACTATACTTTCAGAAGCTTATAACAACTTTGCTACAAGTATTTTGGACTTGGAGTGAGAGGACCCCCACTATGTGTGGAATGTTTGTTTGTTTACTATATCTTTTATATTATTTTGTCCCAAAGGCTTTAGGCAGTAACAGTGAACACTTAACAAAAACAACCCTAGATACATATTGAATAATATATATAAATGCCTGTGTGTGTGTATGCTCCAGCATAACTCTGGAATGCCTCGAGCAATTTCAACCAAACTTGGTACACAGATGACTTACTCCCTGGAAACAAATACGGTGGGGATAAGACACCCCTAACACCCCTCAGTATGTGTGTTCTATTAAGAAATAGTGTATTGTGCCTTAAAATGGCTTCTACTGTACTGCCGTAAAATGGATTCTACTGTACAGCTCAGTGAAGTTGCCATGGTAATAGCTTTACAGTACTCTACAAGGGGGCTCCGTCTGGTAAAGGGGAAAATCCAACATTAGAAATTACATTTGGTCCGGATATTTTCTCCTTATAAATAAATACCTGGACAACGCCGGGTTATCAGCTAGTAATTATAAAAATAGGTGCCACAGCAGTGGTGGTTTCCTACCGGTTCGGTTCAGTTCGGCCAAACTGGTTCCCCAGTTGACGCCATCAGCGCCGCCATCTTATTTTTCAGTTCTGTGCATGCACAGAACAATTTTAATTGCACTGTACATGTGCGTGCATGCACTCATCAGGCACGAACCATCAGTAGTGCCAGCCAGAACCCACCCCTATGCCACAGATCCCATGTTTATATTATAAAATACCCTTCTATACCAATCTAAAGAGAAAAGTATTTCCTAAAACATAGGAGGGTTATATTAACCTGTATTTTAAAATTATATAGTTTTTATTAAATATTAATGTATATTATTATTATTGCATTGTTGTTAGCTTTTGTATACTATTTAGAATTGCCTTGACTGAGTGATTATTAAATTTACAAGAAAAGAACTGTTAGTTCCATTTGTGCACTCCTTTTTCTATTGAAAATTCTTGAAACAAATACTAAAACAGTAACCGCTAACCCACCCACCCCATTTCTTTTCCCCTTCCATATTTAATGGAATCCTTCCTTCTCTTTGATTCTTTTCCAGAATATCCTTCAGCCATGGCAACAGAACCATCCAAACAAGGTAATTAGGATCTTTTATCCCAAAATATTTTTGCTTTAGATTTCAGTACCCCCAGCCCCTCTGCGTTGAACTAAAGAAATGTAGAATTGTTATTGTATCAATCCCTACAGAAGATGCTATAAACTGAAATAGAATCAGCATAGTCTATCCAAAGCACACATACACATCAGTGGTGGGATTCAAAATTTTTTACTACCACTTCTGTGAGTGTAGCGTTGCGTGGTTGGCATGGCATGGCTTGGTGGGCGTGTCAGGGGAAGAATACTGTAAAATCTCCATTCCCTTCCCACTCCAGGGGAAGGTTACAGCAAAATCCCCATTCCCTCCGCACTCTTAGGGGAAGGATACTGCAAAATCCCCATTTCCTCCTGATCAGCTGGGACACGGGAGGCAGAGAATAGATGGGGGCGGGGCCAGTCAGAGGTGGTATTTACCGGTTCTCTGAACTACTCAAAATTTCCTCTACCGGTTCTCCAGAACTGGTCAGAACCTGCTGAATTCCACCTCTGATACACATGCACATGGCTTGTGGAAATGGGCAAGGTGTAAATTTCATCGTTAAATTTATATATTTGTATTATTTCTTATTTCCAGAGCTTCCTTATTGGGCCATCATCCTCATATGCTTCTCCGTCTTACTGGGTTCTATCTTTTTCTTTCTTCTGTGTGTCTTGGTATGTATGCACTATGCTTCAAAGTAGAGGGCTAATGATGAGTCTCTGATGTAAGGAATCCTCAGCACTCTTCCAATATATACCTGAAGAGTGTGTATGTTTTCTCAGAAGAATTTTAATAATAGTGGATGGGAATGTGATGAAATAGTTTCCTTGAGACCTCCTAGGATGTTAATGGAGGCAATTCTTGGACCCTAAAAGCAGTTAATGGAGCCAATGGAAGGGGTCTTTTGCTTTGTTTGTCCCTTTGACAAAGTCAGGTGGAATTGAGGCCGTTAGCTCCTGAAGGAATGTCCATCATGAGAGAGGAAATGGACAAAAGAAGGAAGGCACTCCCCTTGTATGGGCATAAAATGTATTTATTTCTGTCTTTAATCAGACTGCTGTGTGGGTGAAGAGGAGAGCAGGCAAATACCAGATCTGAAGGAACATTTTTGGCCTCTAATTCCCACGCATGGACATGCAAAAATCATAGTGATATGGATTTTGGAAACTTGACTCCTTCCCTGCAAAAAGACCCTTTTTGCAGCGTTTCATCTTGCACATGTTGTGCAACAAAAATTGTGTTTACTATAGCTGGAATGAATGTCTTGATGAAGAAAAGATACTGCATATTCTGTGGAAGACTGCCAGGTTGATAAATTGATGGGGTGCCCTGTCATATTTATTTATTATGTATTGTAAAACTTGGAGTATCTTTTTAAACATCTATAAAAACTAAAGATTAGGTTATTTATGTGCCAAAAATAGAGATTCTGCCAGCAGCATGGATCAGTATTAAACAATTTGCATTCTTTTGAGACTGCAAAGCATCAATGAACTCTATTGCACATTTTTAAAAAATGTATACTGTATTATTTTGCTCAGTAAACAAGCATTAATTTTTATCTTTCAAAGACAATTAAGTTGTTGAAATGGAAGACTTACAGTATTTTTATTTGCACTGCAATTATGTCATACTGCACTGTACTACACTGCACTGTAATAATATATGTTTTCAAAATAATGTATCTTGGGTAGAGATGGTTTTCAATCCTTTTTTAGATATTTCAAATATTCCTGATTTCTTACAAATCAATAAACATGAGCAAGAAAATGAAAAACAAAGTGAAACCTAAACTTCTATCAAGAATGTAAAATAACGTTTTAAAGACAATTGTGGCATATATGACTATGAACACAAATCTTAGAATATTGTGTACAAGAAAAATGTAAATATGAAGAAATCAGCTTTAGTCAGAAATGGCATAATTCTTTCTGCATTAATTTTGTGGTTATACATTATATAGCTAAAATTTAGTTGCCACCATCCCAAAATGATAAAGTACGGTATTTACGTATATACCAAACTTATCTTTCTCTTTTCAGTTTTTTTTTAGTAGCAAACTGTGGGGATATAATTATAGTATTTTTTTGCCTCTCATTCATTCACAATACTAGCCAATTATAAACAATAAATAAATTAGCAGCTAGTAATGAATATGTGAAATCTGTTTAAATATCCAACTTACTGTCCTTCTTTACACAGTGATCATTCACTCTTTCACCAAAAGGTCTGTTTTTTGTGTTTTATATACAGGTAAATTAATAGATTTACTATTGAGATAGATTTCAGTTTAGTAGACCAAATGCAATTGGAGGGGGGGGGGGGTTCTGTCCTTATGTTATATGCTTCAGTACAGTTATAAAATTCCCTTCATGATTCTGTTTATCTATAACACTGCAAAATATGCATGCATAAAATCTCATTTCCATTTTAAATATTTGGAACACAACAGCTGAGTCATATAACATGCAAAGATAAAGGCTGGATTCCCCTATTTTAGCCTAGTAAACAATTTGCATTCTCAATAAATGATACCATGAAAACTTCGTGGGTGTGTAAAAAGAAGTAAATATAGAGCTTCCTATCCTCATCCTTACTTTATTGAACTTTAGTTGGCTAAGTGTGATTTGACACACAAGGAATTAACCTTTGGTACAGAATCCCTCAATTCACATACAAAGCAACAGAATCATCATCATACCAATAAAAGGGGGGAGTAAAGAAGATAATAAGAAGGCTAAATGATAATACTATAACCACACTACATGGATAAATATAAATAGACATTACACAGTACTTTAAGAATTAGGTGTTCAGAAGAGCAATGGCACCGGGGGACGGGGCAGGGCGGGACTATGTCTAATTGCTTTGGCATGCAAAATACTGCTGGTCTTTTCAGCATTGAGTTATTTGGATTTATTTAAACTGAAAGGCTTCCACATTTTGCAAGGAATAGCAATTGAACTTTTTTGTGTGCTTGCACAGATAATCCTCATTTAGCGACTGCCTCTTTTAGTGATTGTTTGAAGTTATGACAGTGATGAAAAAAATAACTTTACAACAAATCTTTGCCTGCGTGACTTCTGCAGGACTGTAAAGCGAAGGAAAGCTAAAGTAAGATCATAAGGACAGTCATGGTTTTGTTTAGCAATCGCTTTGTTAACTATCAAGTTGCCAGTCCCAATAAAAGTATGGTTACTAAATGAAGACAGTATAGATTAGATTAGATTAGATTAGATTAGATTAGATTAGATTAGATTAGATTAGATTGGATTGGATTGGATTGGATTGGATTGGATTGGATTGGATTGGTTTGGTTTGGTTTGGTTTGGTTTGGAATGGAATGGAATGGAATAGAATAGAATAGAATAGAATAGAATAACAGAGTTGGAAGGGACCTTGGAGGTCTTCTAGTCCAACCCCCTGCTTAGGCAGTAAACCCTACACCTGTATGCCTTCAAGTCAGCCTTGGCTCCTGGTGACTGCCTTAACTGCTCCCTGCATTTTTCGTAGTATCATTTTCAAAAGTGATTTACCATTGTCCCCTTCTTCCTAGGTCTGAGAGAGAAGGACTGGCCCAATGTCACGAAGCTGGCTTTGTACCTAAGCAGGACTAGAATTCACCATCTCCTGGTGTAATAAGAGAAACTATGTTCTCAGGTTCAAACCAGCTTCTGAGGTTATGTCTATGGAGATTCTCAGTCATCCAGATCATGGTTGTCCCAAAGGTGCTTTTTTCAAGAGGCAGAACTGGACTTTCTTTGTTTTTCTTTGAAGACGTTTCGCTTCCCATCCAAGAAGCTTCTTCAGCTCTGACTGGATGGTGGGGAACGGAACAATTTTGAAGGAGAAAATGGAAGGAGGGATAGTTAGAATGGAAGAAGCTTCTTGGATGAGAAGCGAAATGTCTTCAAAGAAAAACCAGAAAGTCCAGTTGCCTCTTGAAAAGGCACCTTTGGCACAACTTCCGAGGTACTTAATTTCTGAGATAACCAGGCTCATAGGTGAACAACAACTGAAAAATTAGATCTCCTTGCTGCCACACTGTTTCCCTACACCCTGGTTTCTCCCTTCCCCACCATCTCTCTGGGGAACCAGGAGAGGATCGAAGAAGAAACTCTCATCCCTAGCTAAATACAGAAGAGGAACCCAGACAAAAATTTTGCACATGTGTAGCTCAGCCAACCTGAGATGATAGAATGCCATCTGTCAATTCCACGATTGAAATAATAAATACAGTAACAAACAAACAAACAAATAAAATAAACTTTGTGAAACATATTAAAATAAAATAAGTTTCCTCCAGGCACAATGACAGTTCGAAAGAACATGAAAAATAATAACCCTTTCAGGCAATTCTAACTAAAAATTCTAACTCTTCAATTTCTAACCTTCTCCGAAGTAAATGCTTCCTTCACCTTTCAGGATTCCAGCCAAGTCTCTCACCAAAGTCTTCCCTCCAAAACTCTCTCACCCCTGGCTAAATACCGAAGGGGAAGCTAAATTTTTTTGGATGTCTGTAGCTCAGCCAATTTGATGATGGAAAGCTACCACTCAATTCCACAATTGATACAAAAGAAAACAGAAATCAATAAATAAGTAAATAAATACACTTTATAAAACATATTAAAATAAAACAAGTTTCTACGGGCACAATTGTCAGTTTGACAAAACATGAAAAACAACCCTTAAATGCAATTCTAACTAAAAATTCTAACTCCTCCGTTTCTAACCTTGTCTGAGGTAAATGCCCCCTTCAACTTTCAGGATTCCAGCCAAGCCTCTTACCAAAGTCTTCCCGCCAAAACCTGACAGAACCCACTTCTCTATTTCTACTGGCTGTCTTGGGTCACGTGACTCCTTCTTTGGGTGCAAAAAGCTGGCTTGTGATGTAAACGGTTGGCTGCCTCCCTACCTACGGCCTCATGTCTATCTATGGAGCTTCCTGGAGAAAGAAGGTGGGGACACACTCTCACAAAACAGCCCACTCAGGGCCTACTTTATAGCATACAGGTGGTCCTCAACTTATAACAGTTTGTTTAGTAACCGTTCAAAGTTACAATGGCACTGAAATAAGTAACGTATGATTGGTTTTTTTTTTTTACACCTTTGTGGCATCCCCACAGCAAGGACGTGCAGTCAGGGGAGGCAGGGGAGGCAGAGCCTCACCACTGTCATCATGAAAAGAAAAAAAAGATGTAAAAGGAAAAAGGCAAGAGCTAAGGTCAGGCTGAGCTAGTTGCTGCCAAAGTCACCATGGATGATTCTGCTTAACTGTTTAAAAAAGCCTCTAAAAAAGTGCCCTCTACAGGAGGCGGCAGGAGAACGGGGTGCCTCTTCTAGTCTGACTTTTTATGATCACTCGAGCAGAGTTAAACAAGGGTTAAAAGCCTAAAAATTCATGACATAGGTGAGGCATGTCGTTCTCCTGCCTCCTCCTGTAGAAGGTGCATTTTGTGTATGTGCGTGTGTGTTTGAGAGGGAGGGAGAGAGGGGGGAAGGA